TATTTACAGGAGTATTTCATATTAGCGCCGCTATATCGACAAAAGTTCTGGAGACGCTCTGGCATTTATCGGAGAGGATGTCTAAACGGGATCCTCAGGTCTGTAAAGGGAGAACAGTGACGGGATTAATTCTACGGAAGCCTACTCGCGAATTAGAATTAATTCCCACCCGAATATTCCCCCCTGGCCTTTAACTCCGGTCAGGAACAGGAAACGGATCAGGAACAGGAAACAGGGTCAGGACAGGAACACGCCCGAGCAGCGCCTCGTTATGCGTGAGATTTCAGTAACATTTGCACACCGGGAAGCACCCCGTTGAGTGTACGTTACTGCGGAGATACTCCGTTCCCCCGAAACACGCGCCCGCTGTTACGGAGGATGCCGGAGTCAGGAACGGATACGGGAGACCGGTACGGGAAAATGTAACATGTGTACACCGAGGAGCACCCCGTTAAGTGTACGTTACTGCGGGCCGGGGTGCATGACGGAGTAGCGCCTCCGCTGACATGCACCCCGGTGTGGTCTACGGCCGATTGACAGGAGCACCCGTGTACTTGGGGCAGACCGCAGTGGATGTGGGAGGCATCCACCGCCGCGTGTCTTCGCTCGGAGCACCGAGGCAAGACTGACTTCTTCTCGCCAGCTCCGGAGGGCTTTTATACCCCCCAGAGTATAGGCGCGCGGGGTAGAGACGGCAGGGGCAGGCGCGGCGTTGCCAGTTAAAGTTGACTTGGCAACCGCGCCGCTATCGCTCTCTCACTCGCACCCGGTAGTGCGTTCTCTCTCGCGCTTGCGCCTTCCCTGTCGCCTTCGTCACAGTATCATCGGAGGATAAATCGTTGTTGCGATTGTATGTTAGTGGTGAAGGAGGCACTGGCAAAAGTTTTTTGATGAAAACAATTAAATGCTGGATTAAACAAAACCTCAACAAGGATACTGCTGTAGCAGCCCCTACTGGTATAGCAGCGTTTAATATAGACGGCTTAACAGTTCACAGAATGCTTCAATTACCCGTTGAACATGGTTAGACTCCTAAATATAAACAATTGTCCGATCATGTGTTGAAAGTTTTACGAGCAGATCTGAAAGATGTCATTCTTTTTATAATTGACGAAGTGTCAATGATATCTAATTTGTCATTTATGTATATACACCTACGATTATCTTAAATATTTGATAGTATTGATTGTGATGACGGTTGGTTTGGCCGAAAGCATATTTTTTATTTGGAGATTTGCTTCAGTTACCTCCTGTACACGAAGATCCTGCTTTTGTACGTTTATCAGATGAAAAAGTTTCTAAATGCCTCGGTTCGTTATGTGCGACTAATCTATGGGCTACATTATTTAATTATGATGAATTGACAATCAACATGCGCCAGCAAGGAGATAGATCTTATCGTGAATTACTGTCGAGAATTCGCATTGGTTTGGTAATTAAGTCTGATTGTGAGATTCTCGAAAGAAGAAAAATATCTTTTAAAGGTGTGTCTTTTGAAGCGAGATTACACGACCCGGGAAAAAATGGAAAAGATCTGAACAGACCTGATCAGATCAAATCAGATCCAATTCGCTCAGATCTGATTTGATCAAAATATTGGCCCTATCTGATCAGATTTAATCAGACATGAGTAGATCTGATCCGGTCCTAGCGGACAGAGTCAGATAGGATAAGAATAATTTATATCTGATCAGATTTAATCAGACATGAGTAGATCTAATCTGATCCTAGTGGACGAGGTCAGATAGGATAGGAATAATCTATATCTGATCAGATCCACTCAGACATGAGTAGATCTAATCTGATCCTGGCGGACGAGGTCAGATATGACAAGAATAATCTGTATTTGCTCGGATCCAATCAGACATGAGTAGTCTAGAGGTCGATCATGAATTTTTTCACACGTGAAGAGTGAAAAATTTCTCCATTGCCTACTTTTTCTAGCGAAGGACATAGAAGAAGAAGGCAATGGAGAAATTTGTCACTTTTCACGTGTGTAAAAAAATTCATAATCGACCCCCTGATCTATCCTAGCGGATATATGGCAACCCTTACGAAAAATACACTACAATTATAGGGTTTTTCCGAGTGTATAAATTTAACATATTGCTATTCTTTCATGGGTGTTTTATTATTAACTCCATTATTTTTTCCAATAAAATCTTTAGTTTTATTTTTAAGAAATATAACATTATTGAATCAAAAACTAATACTAAAACAACTAGTTCGTATAAATATCCGTTGTTATATTTGGCGCAATTTGTTGATATCATTACTTTTGTAGAGAAGATAGTTTTGTTGAGAAGATATTTTTGTAGAGAATATACTCTTGCAAAAAAGATAGAGTAACAAAATACACTCACCCGCAAAAAAATGGGCCACCACATTTTAGCACAATTTTTTAACATTTTTCAATAGCGATAACTCGGCGAAAAATTATCGCAGACAAATGATTAAAAAAGCATTTTGAAGCTTGAAATTTCAACTTTGAAATGCTGTCAAAAAATTTTTTAAATTCGTTCATCTTCCTTGTTCTATGGTTTAAAAAAGAACACATTGTTTTTTTTTCTTAAAATTACGTATTTTTGACGCTCTGTGGCTGGATAAAAAAATTTGTCTCGAAAATATCATCTCAAATTTCATAAACTACAACTCTTTGCCTACAAAACGCTTTTTTAAAAATTGTCCTGCGATGTTTTTTGACCGAGATATACAATTTTGAAGCTAAACCTGTACTTTTTAGAAATGTTGTCGATACTCGGCGAAAAATCATCGTAGACAAATGATTAAAAAAGCATTTTGAAGCTTGACGTTTCAACTTTAACATGGATGTCCTTTTAAAATTCCTTTATTTTCCTTGTTCGCTGCTAAAAAGAATAAAAATGAACACATTGCTTTTTCCTTAAAATTACGTATTTTTGATGCTCTGTAGTTGGATAAAAAATTTCTCTCGACAATATCATCTCAAATTCCGTAAACTACAACTTTTGGCTACAAAATGCTTTTTTAAAAATTTTCCTGCGATTTTTCTTGACCGAGTTATGTACGATTGATTTCTGAACCAATATTTTTTACAAAGTGCCCATGTAAGGTTTGCCGACCTTTGCCCGACGTGAAACGTCGGA